TCCAAACTCTAATTGTTACCTAGGGATAAAAATATGGGGTGCTCAGAAGATTTTCCCAATTAGTCTAGAGTAGTTGTATCAAAATAAAAGATTATCGATAGTAATCATTGACTAAGAAGTAATGATGATTCTTCTTGTTCCCACCAGAGGCAATTATATTGCTCTTCAAAGATACGGCACTCTATGTTATTTCTTATCTCTCTTTTATTTTCAAAGTTAAGTACCAATTGCTGATTTATACTATCGATCATTAATAAAGACTTTATTGTCTTTATTAATGATCGATAGTATAATATATACTTAGAGGCATCCATAAATAACATTATACAAGAGGAGTTTCACAAAAATAACGTTTTTTTTACGTTTTTTGCTAAGTTAGAGGGGGGTTAAAAAAAAATAACCTAATTAATTTATAAAAATATTAATATCTTGTGACCCAATGGTCCAAATTGGATGAATTTAGTACTATTGGATTCGTCTCTATGAGAGGAATCCAATGATACAAAAATTATTCAATTTGGATCACCATATTGGCTGATCTACACACTACATTAAAATTTTATACCCCAAAATTTAGGGTGCTTTTTATAAAGAATAAATACTTTAACCTGACAAACCAAATAAGTTTATATAGAGGTTTTCTGACTTTAAACAAAATGTTTAGTTTATGCTATATGTAATACAAGTGATTTTCGACATAAGAAACCTTCTATATAAGAAAGATTTTACAAGTTCTAATTTAAACTATTAGGCTACACAAAATTAATTTTTTATTTTGCATTATATGGAATTAAAAATTAGATCAGTTGGTCGATTTTTTTTCTTTTTTTTTGTTTTAATTTGGTAAATCATAAATACTAAAATATAAAAGCTCGAAGTCTGGTTTCTTTTAAAAAATAAAAAAATAAATAGCAATTAGTATAATTAGAATTCTAAAACAAAAAAAAAATTTGAAAAAATTAAAAAATTAGTTTGCGTGGTCTTTTAACAAAAAGCTTTTAATATAAGAAAATCTCAGTATAAGAAAGATTTTGTCTAGAGCCAGTAACTTTTTTATATTAAGAGTCACTTGTTATATATACCATGTTTTACTATATATAAAAAATATAGCTTTACAAAGTAGTTGCTTTTTAACTAGGAATAGTAATACTTCAATAAATTTATAATTATTTTATAATAAATAGCCATGTTATTTTTATAGTATATTGATATTATTGTATAAAACATTTATTGCAAAAGCCTAATAACACAAAGCTTAGACAACCTAATAGCTGAGCAATAATTAATAATCCCAATTCAATTTAAACAAACATGCTAAAACAGATTTTGTCAGAACTAAAATTAAATATTGTTAATAGTTTGGTTAGGTTTAAAGGCGTTAAAAATTATATAATTCTAATACATTCAATTAAAAACTGTTGAAACCAATTAATGGTGAGATAATTCTAATTAATTGTATTTGCAATCATATGAAAAATAGATTTGTATATAAATAATCCAAAATTTTAGTGTAGTTTAAAATCAATTAATTAATTGTAGTCTAAATAATTACAATTAATTACCTCTACAATTAATTATTCAGTATGTATACCTAGTTGGGTTTAACTCACTAGAGATTGTGTCTGTATAAAATTTTTTCAAGTAGCTAACCCATATTGCAAAACTAAATTCGAATAACAAACTATATAGTTATAAAAAAGTAAACCAGATCAGACTTTAATGCTTTTCTATCCTATAAATAAAAGAGATATTGGTTAGAACCAAATTTGTAAACCCAAAATCTAAAAAAAACAAAAAGAAAAGAAAGATATTCATCTAAAATTATATCCCAAATTGTAATAATGTCAAGTAGGATTTTGCTTAAATAACATAATTCATTTGGCTAAATGAATAATTTAAAAGGATTAAGTTGTGAAAATAAGTACTATATTTATATTCATAATTTGCTGATATTAATTCTACCAAATAATAAGTTATCTTATACTTACCAGCTGAATAATAATTTGAAGAGAATTAAGTTGTGGTAAAGTGATTTGCTGATTTTTAATTCTATCAGGTAAGGATTACCTAGTGATCTTTATATTTATAAAGCTATTCGGGTAATTCTTGCTCGGTTTAATCTTAAATAAAATGTTTAATAAACGAGCATTCTATAAAAGGATATTTTGCACCAAAAATTACTTTGTTATCATCTTTTCGAATTAGTGCAACTATTGAATTTCGAATTCTGACACCATATTTACCAAACACTGCATAGTATCCTGCATATTATTCAACAAATTATGAAAATTCACAAAAAGTTCATTAAAAGAGTAATAATAGTTTTGTGACCAAATATTCATAAAAAAATAGAATTCATATTTTTTAATTCTCGATCTATATAAAAACTATAATAAACCATGTCCCAATATGAATACGAAACAAATACTTATTCTGAAAATTTAGTAATATCTTATAAAACTCTATATCGAAGTTTAGTTTATATCATAGTATCCGAAGATATATATCCAACTACTAATATATTAGCATGGACTAAAAAACCAAACCCATATAAAATACCAGATCAATATATAGTATAAACAAGTTTTAGAAAAAAAAGCAAACATACAACCGTAACTTGTACGATTGACTATATTAAAAACAAACCACACTTTTTTATCAAATTTGGGGATTGTCTAAATGATTTTGTTATGTCTGATCAAAGTCTATCATATGCTGCTAATGCATATCAGAAAGAAATAAATAAATGCCAAACATCTCAAATTGAAGAAAATCCTCCTAAAAAAAAAAAAAAAGATATTACTAAATAGTCAGGAGTTTTGTTATTTGGTTTACAACTGCAGCAAATTAAAAAAATACGTAAAAAAAAATACATACATAATCTAAAACTTTTTGACAAATTAAGTGAATCAGGAAAACGAGCATGTAATAAAAAACTTGGATTAGCTCTTTATGACCAAGTTCAAAATACTACAAAAACCTTATTTTGTAATAATGACAAAATAATATTAAATGAATTAGTACTCTTGATTAATAATAATAATTTCAAAATTATTTACAACTTACCTGATAAAGATTCAACAGAATTACAAGCTAAAGCTATCATTAGAGCAATAGATATTGAGAAAGTTTCACGTTCTGCATATAGTACTCTTGCAGCTATTAATCATAATCTTCCACATGAATGGGCAATAGCAAAAATGCGACAAACGATTACAAATGAAATTAATACAATAATCAAACCTTTAATTTTTGATCTAACTTCAACATTAATTCATAAAATTCCAAATAATGAAGAGATCGATATCACAAATACAGAAATTATTAAGTTAGTAACCAAGTTAATTGGAATGGGTGCATAAAGATCAATTAAAGAAATTTTAGCTTATTTAATTCCAGTTTGGCTTAAAAAAGAATTTTAAATGTAAATTCACCTATTATCCATATTTGAATTTTCAGAGATAGGTGTAATATTGGAAAAAAAGTAAAACATGTAATGTTTACATTTACGATTTTAAATGATTTAAAAAATATCTTCAAACCTGATTATCATCATACCCTTATTCTTTATCCTGAAGTTGAATGTTATGAAAGCTTAGAAATTGTATTAAGTAGCTTAATTTCAGACCTTAATGGTATTAAGGATTGCTATATAAATAAACAAAGTAGACAATAGCAAATAAAGTTATACTTTAGCACAGATTGGAAAATGCTTGCTCTTTGTTTAGAACACAAGGCTGCTAATTCTGATCATTTTTGTCTTTGGTAAGGTTCTTTTTCACTAGCTAGAACTAATTATAAAAAAGAATTGAACCTGAGTAAATATTGTTGCTATATAGTTATCTAGATATATAGTAAATTACTCAAATAACTTATGTAATTTAATCATATCCAGGTAGAGATTCTCTTAACGGGTCCAATTGCTAGTAAATATTTTTATTACTAATCTGATTACTCACCTGTTTAATTTTTTCTAATTTCAGATGCCATTGCAATAAAAACGAGAATGGAAATTTAGATCACAATTGGACAATTCAAAAAAATATAGAAAAAATTAATAAAAATTATATAACAATTAATGGACATAAGAACAAGCCACTTTTTTTGATAATTCCACTTACTAACTGGGTTCCGGATGAGTTGCATTTACTGTTAAGAATTACAGATAGGCTTTGGATTTTAATTCTTTCAGAATTAAAAATCACTAAAAAATTTGACGAGATGAGAGGCATTATTGTAAAAAAAATGAAACACATTAAAATTAAATTCCAATTTTGGCAAAAACAAGGCTCAAATATATGGCAATATACTTCTCTCATAGGCAACGACAAACTTAAAATGCTTAGAGAATTTGATTTATCTATGATTCTATCACCAGAACATGCAATTTTAATTCGTAAATTATGGAATAGCTTTCTAAACCTTTATACTAGTATAAAGAGTTAAACAACTACAGGAAATCAGTTTAAAATTAGTACAATTGCTTGGTTTTAGTTATTTCTCACAAGATTATCAGGAGAATTTAATAGTAAAACATTTACCAAAGGACTTTATAGACCTAATGATATCACTCTGTACATATATATGATAATATATCATATATCTGAATTTATTGATTTGCATAGAAACTTTGAAATAAGAGGTTTTTCTTGTTCAGCTGTTGAGAAAAAAAATCACCAACAAGTGTCTTTTTTTTTCCAAAAACTTTAAAAAATGGAGAAAACCAAAATACCAGAAGAATAGCTATTCTTGAAATACTAGATTACGATAACCGAAGTCTTTACTTTTATACCTATAACATTCCATTATACTTTGAAAAAAATAGCAAAATTACCATTCAACAGTCTGATCATTCTACTACTAGTTAAAAATTTTTGGATTTTTTTATTTGAAAGTTTCTCAAAAATACCCTGTATCTGTCATAAATCATATTATAATGTACCCAGCTTGCAATGTATGATTAACAGTATCTATTAATTTACGGGTTCTCTATTCAATATTCATTCCAAATACTGATTTGCATTTTTTATGATTTTTTTCTTGCCAATTTCTGAGCCTAAGTTTACTGAATCTGAAAGATTACTTGTTGAAGAAAAAAGAATTACAGCCGTTTTTTGTTTCTGAGCATACAGCCTAATTCTCCAATCTAGATCCTCAAAAATCTTACTTAATATTTCATATGCATCTTCGCTACTGAAATCACATTTATATAGCCTTTTACTAGGAATATAATGCTTTAAATACTCTCTGAATACTGCAACAAATTGGCTTTCTATGCATAGAACAGATAAACATTGCTCTCTTGCTAAATTACTATTATTAGAGAGTTTTTTTTGAATTAAATATACTAACATTTTTTTAAATTCATGAATAGCATCAAATGGTAAGGTGGCAACTCTATTGCGTGGTGTGTTATAATCAAGATGAACAAGCTTTTCATGTCATCCAAGACTTCCATTGGTTTTATAAGTTTTCTGTGGACACAATAAACAAGAAATATATGAAGCTGAAGTAGTGGTAACTCAACTTGAACTTGAATCGTGTATATGACACTCGTGTATTCGCAGACCATGTTGGTTTTTAAAGCATCATCTTTGACACAAAGAGTACAAGACAAGTAGTAAAGTAGGTGTAGTTGGTGGCATAATATGGTTCATTATATACTGAATTAGATATAATATAATTCAGGTTACTAAAAATGGTTTAATCATTTTTTATATGATTTTTATTGTTTTAAAAAAGTTTTATCAGGCCCCTCTTTTCCCTACTATAACTAATGGTAGCTAGTCTTAAATTAGTTTATAAATTAGAAAATTAAAAGGTGATTTGCTACACTTAGGTGGTTATACAAGATATAATAGATAGTTAAAATTTAATATCATCTTGATACAAATCTGTAACTAATCTTATCATGTATATAGCAAATTCATAATAAAAAAAAAAAGTTTTAAAATATAGATAAATTTAACTGAAGCTAAAATTACTGCATCTGATTTGTTAATTTCAAGCTTCTGTATTTCTTTGATAAAATCAAATAATCTATTTTTCTCATATCGATCCAAATAAATTATAATTCATATCTATAAAATCCTGCAGCGATTTATAACTTATTAGATTTGTGGTAAGTATACTACTCTTATTTCTAATTCGTTACCCAAGATTTTGAGACTACTTTTGCAAGTATCCTTTGTTATTTGACAAATATTAAATATTAGATTTTGTAAGAAATAATCAATAACGTGATGTATAATCTCTTCTCGTCTTAAATATATATATTTAACTCTAAACACAACTGCAAGTTTCTGATGTTTCAATGAAATGAACTTAGAGCCTACTGTAAAGAATTGTGTTGTATAAACATGAGTAACTAAATAAAATTTTGTGAATCGATTTACAAATTCTTACCTTAATAGATTTAACCCTGAAAGTTGAACCATATTGGTATACAACTAGTTTTTTTTTTGGTTAGCAATATGTGATCAGTGACTTTGTTGAAAAAGGAAAAAACTACTTATTTATATAACTTAACAATAAAAGTATTACCGAAGCGATTAGAAAATCAAATTCTTCAAGGTCTAGTCAAGTAAAATATAAATTCATTAAGCAAAGTTCAGATTTTCTCTCACTGTTGCTCAAATATAATATAGTTTCTGTAATCTTTTGAAGTTGCTCACAAAATTTATATTAAAAGC